ACATAACACAATGGATCATTGGAATCCACTGTCTACAAGCAATTAGTAATCACAATACTCAAATTCATACACATTCAATGAGGGTTAAACTAAACACATACCGTTAAGAGAGAGACATTCTTAGTCATCAAAATGTATTGTTGGTAAGCATTTAAACCTATCAAGTGTTTGTTGGATAAGAGTCATCACCCTCACTTACTAGGTGAAATTCTCGATTTTTTCCTTTCCTCTTACCGTCTAAGATTTTCGGTTTTCGTTATGTTCACCTGGGAAGATAATTGAACCAGTAAGTGTTTAGTAAATAAACCCTAGGAAATAGATTTCTATTTCATAAATTCTTTGATTGAGGAAAGCATGAAGGCTATAATTAGTTGTGGTGACTTTGCCCAAATGTAAGACCTGAGGTCGTTCCCAGGTTTTCTGCTAGTATCAGGCCATCAGCCGTTGAATGGGTCAAAAAAATGCCTACATACATTGATGTTTTATTAGGCGGGTTTTGTGTATGGTTGGTTAGAGTTGTCGGTAATCAATTTTTTACTCAAATGTTATTGGTTTTCTTAGTTTGAACATAATAAAAAAATACGCCACAAAAAGCAATTAGAAACAAAAATAGGGAAAAATAAAATGATAATTTATATCATTGATAAACCAAAATTGTGAAATCAAATAAAAAAAAAAAAAGCCACCGTTGAAGCCGATTTTTGAAAGAAATCCAAAAAATTAAAATAAAATCGCCGTTGCCGGGGATCGAACCCGGGTCACCCGCGTGACAGGCGGGAATACTTACCACTATACTACAACGACCAATTTTGTTATTCAAACGTATTTTCTTAATCAAATAATTACACATTTAAAACGTCCAATAATTTCCCCAAGACTCGTCATCGATTATTTTCATTAAAAAATAATTGAGTGTACATATAATATTTATTTTTCTTTTTAAAAAACAAAACTTTATGTTAACGAGTATTTAGAGGACATACATTGTTCATAAAATAAGTAGGAAAAATTAACGTATTGAAGTACAAGATGAGATAATCGAGATGTCTGTGTTAACTGGTGATAGCAAAAAACCGGTTCCGGGTCGGGCCGGACCTAGTTGGTCACAAGCTTTCTCATAACCGGCCATAACCGGTCCCGACGTAACCTGTCTCAGTCGAAAATGGTAGGACCGGTCAAGGTACTTCATAACCGGTTATGGGCCGCCGGTCCCGGTCCTAACCAGTCCCAACCGGTCCCGGTATTAAAAAATAAGATTTTTTAAATTTTTTAATAATATATATTTTTAATATATTATAAAATTTACAATTGGGTCACTCAAATACATTTTAAAAATGTGTTTTAATATAATTAAAATTACATTGTCTTATAAAAATACATTTATTTATAAAATTACTAGTTGAAGTTCTACTGGTTTTATAAGATAAGATTTAACGATGATATATGTTACATTTGGTCTTTACATATTAATACAATTTGAATAAATAAGAGTTATGGTTCCAATTACAGACTATCGATGAAAAAAATTGTATGACATTTTAAAATCCAATATATTTAAAATCTAACATATTTAAACGACTACACAAATGTGTTCGATTTACACCAAGAGCAAAGAACCAAGAAACTTGAGTTTTAAGATAAACATTCAAAACCAATAAAAAAAACTACAAATTTGACAGATCATAAACCATGAAAATACCAAAAAAGATGGGTTTCATAATGAAATTTCAACTGCTTACCATCTTTCTTGTCCAAAAACCCAGATTAAGGTTGAATTAATACATGTATATATATATATATTTCAAAAAAACCCAATAACATATTATAAGTGCAATTTGGACAGTCTAACCCCAAAATATATAATATATATATAAATAAATAACTATAAAAGTATAAATCGTAAATATTAAAAATATTTTTTCACAGTATATATAATATATAATAATATAATTAAGTMAAAAACTATTCAATATTGGACTCATTTYGAAGKTATTAACGAGACGATTATAATRGTKTAACTTRTTAAAATAAAAATRTATTTTTTAAACATKTTTTAATTRATATACGATTATGTATGTTAATTTGATAAAAGTTTAAAATGAAACATTTAAAAGTAAAGAACGTAAAGTAAATTAATTAACTAATTATAGGGGTATAAAATGTAAATTTAAAATTATAATTTAAAAAAAAAATCGGTTGTGAGAGGGTGAGTGTATATGAGGAGGTGAGTGTATGTGAGGAGAGGAGGGGGTGAAAAAGTGAAAAAGTGACATAAGGGTAGTATAAAAGGTATTTGGTCATTTAATATTTTAAAACTTTAAGACTTTTGCTAAATTTGCTTAATAAGATAGTATATATTTGAACTTTCGGGCCGAGCCGGTCCCGGTCCCACGAAACTACCAAAAACCCCAACCGGTCCCCATTTTCGGTCCCATAACCGGTCCTTACCGGTCCCAGACCGGGCCGATTTGGCCATCACTAGTGTTAACACATGAGCAACTTCGTTAACTTATAACTTGATGAAACAAATTAAATAAAAATCATGTCAAAACAATATTTTATTGAACATTATAATTGGATAGTTTAATGATATATAAAGAATACATCATCTTCTTGATTGGACATCCCGGCCTGTAAAGAAGATTTGCACGAGTCACATCTATCCACAAACCGAAACGGTCCAAAAAAATAATTTATCGATCAGACATCCTCCTATAAAATCCTCATGGAAAGTTCTTTGTCAATTCCGCTTGATTCGAGTCGGGTACAATGATAGTTTTTCGTCCCTTTGGTTTATTAACAATTTCAATTCTTGTCTTTATGGTTTAGACATTGCAATTTTCATCTATATAGTATCTAAATCATTGATAGTTTCCTCCTTATGATTTTATAATTTATTGTTGTTTCATTTCTTGTATTTTACAAATTTTTACTATTATAGCTCCTTGGGTAAAAAATCAATTCAGGAACGAAAATAACAATAAACTATAAACCATATAAATAAAAATTGCAATTTTTAAAACATAAGGATGAAAATATAAATTTTTAATAAATCATAGGGACTAAAAATGTAATTTACTCTGGTATAGATTTTATTGCAAAAAAGGTATATTTTTGGTCGGGTGTAGTCAAAACACAATTCCATAGATTTGCTCCTTCCTTTATCTTTACAGATCCATCTTCAACCTGGTTTCAAGGTTTTTGGGGCGAAAACCCTGAATCGGATGGGCTGTTTCTTTAGCACAAATTCAACCAACAAGCCAACATCATCACCATCAATGTCGAATTCGGAGCTCAACCCAGATCTAACGTCCTACCAAGAGGCTTGTCGATCGGATCCGGAGCTTCAGTCCTTCGATTCAACCCTCCAAGACCGAACTACCAGAGTCATCAACACCCTCGCCGTCGGCGTCGAGGTCCGTTCCCTTTCCCTTGACTCCCTCCGTCAAGTCACCGGAAGTTTACTCGATATGAATCAAGAAGTAGTTAAGGTCATACTCGAATGCAAAAAAGACATTTGGGACAATGACCAATTATTTTCCTTGGTTGAAGATTACTTCGAAATCAGCTCACAAACCCTAGATTTCTGCACATCGCTTGAGAATTGCTTGAAAAATGCTCGATCTAGTTTATCATTTCTCCAAATTGCAATCAAACGATACGATGCAGATGCTAATCATATCAACAGCCTTGAGCAATTCAAAGAATTCAGAGCTTTAGACAGTCCATTTTCAAACGAGTTCTTCGAATTGTTCCAGTCTGTTTACAAGAAGCAACTCACAATGTTAAAGAAACTGCAAATCCAAAAAGGTAAAGTTGATAACAAGTTGAAATCAATAAAGACATGGAGAAGATTAAGCAATGTGATATTCGTGACCACATTTAGCACAGTCTTGATTTGCTCGGTGGTGGCGGCAGCCGTGACTGCTCCACCGCTGGTAACCGCACTGGCGGCAGCAATGGCAGTGCCATTAGGATCAATGGGGAAGTGGGTAAACTCATTATGGAAGAAGTATGAAAAGGAATTCAGAGATCAGAGGGAGATGATGAGTGCAATGCAGATAGGGAATTACATTGTGATCAAAGATTTGGACAACATCAAAGCTCTTGTTGACAAATTGGGAACTGAGATGGAGAATATGTTGCAGAATGCGGAATTTGCGATCAGGGAAGAGGAGGAGGAGGCGGTGGGGATGGTGGTGGATGAGATGAAGAACACGATGAAGGAATTTGCAAGAACAATGGAGGAATTGAGTGATCATTCAGATAAGTGTAGAAGGGATATAAGGAGAGCAAGAACAGTGGTTCTGCAGAGGATCATCAAGCATCCTAGTAGTAGTGAGTCACTTTAGCTGTAACTGTAAGTTAACCCATGAACAGTAACCGTGTTTAGGAAGGATGAGAAGAGAACATAGACAAAGAAAGTTGTTTGTTTAATTATTTTTATTTAAGCAATGTTCGTTAAGTTGTCATATGCCCCTTTACACAAGGGTTATTTGGGAAGTGCTATGGGCACCGGTTAACATGGGTGTTGAATGTTTGGGATTTGTGATATCTTTGAAATTTATAAAACATCAAATCGATTTAATAATATATTATATTTAATTATTATTAGTATTTAATACATACATATATAATTATATATATATATATTCTTTATGTATACTTTACATATATTATATAATATTTTTTATTTATATTATTATTATAATTTATTATCTTCACTTATATTATATTATATATATATATATAGAGAGAGAGAGAGAGATAGGTGGACAACCTTTTACATTTGTATAATCAATACAACTCAATCTTAATCGTCCATTTAATTTGATGAATATGTAATTTCATAGAAGTTTTGATTGTTTTTTAATATAAAGTATTGATCATAATTAATGAACCTTATTCATTTTCTATAAATATTTAAATTATAATAAATGAACTCTCATAATTTTCATAATTATTTCAATTTATTGGGTTGCATTGATTGTACAAATGTGATTAGTTGCATTTGAAACAATCTCTCTCTCTCTCTCTCTCTCTCTCTCTATATATATATATATATATATATATATATGAGCGATCAAATGAAAATCGTCCTCATTTGTGTAAACCATGTAAACCAACCTTATTCATGCATTTTCTTGATCGATGGTCAAGATTAGTTTAAGTTATATTAGGAAATTAATAAAAAATAAAAAAATATTTTATAATCCCAAAAAAGGCAAAATGGTAACTTTGATAGTGGTAATATTAATGACAACCATATCATGTATATCGTAATATTAATGAAACAAAATCATTTGTAAAATAATATATTAATTTTATGTTCAAATATTATAAAAAAATAACATCTATCATTAAAATAGATCAACAGTAAAAATAAAACACTATAATTAATTTAATATAATGAAACCTTTTGAATAAAAAAAAATTACTACTACATTTCATGAATGAAATGGTTTCACGGTTTCATCAATACACAAATCAACGTAATGCTAGATGAGACATTTGTCATTTTCAAGTTTTCGGTAGATGGATCCGTTTTAATCTAATTATGAAATGGTTTCACTGTTTGCTAATTAAACAACATGTTCTTAACAATTATGAAATGGTTTCTCTGTCGTTATGCACCTATTTCATAGAAATGGTTTCACAGTTGTATGACCAAAATGGTTTCACGGTTTCATCAATACAATAATCAACATAATGCCTGATGAGACATTTGTCATTTCATGTTATTGGTAGATGAATCCGTTTCATTGTAATAATGAAATTGTTTCACTGTTTCCTAATTACACAACATTTTCTTATCAATTATAAAATTGTTTCACTTTCTTCATGCATCCATTTCATCATTCAATTTCTTCAAATACGAACACGTTTAATAGAGTCAATGCATTTACCATTACATGCTTTGTTAACCATTAAGTGAACAAAATCATCCAAAAAAAATAAAACAAAATGAAACAATTTCATCAATAATTGTTGATAAGAAAACAGGATTATGCAAGAATATTATATTATGCAATCAGTTCATCCCCAAAAGTTTCATAAAACAAACTCCTCAATGAACGTTTTCATGAACAAATCTAACATGAATATGTATCACAACTGATTGTATTTTTACCGGTTCATCAATTTTTGTTTGGATCTGTTACTGATTTCGTGGATTAATGGATATAATAATTTTCGATTTTCATATTATTACCACTAATAAACCGAGAAACCAAATAACTATGTTCAATTTATAAAATTCTAATTTAATTATTATAATTTATAAAATTTTCTTTATTATGTTACCTTAATTAAAATTTATTAATAATTTCCATATTTAATAGAAAACAATGTAAATGACAATTCTACTCTTAATAATTATTTAATTAAGTAAAAAAGAATTTTTTCTATTGGTCGAAATTAGTTTACACAGTTTTTAAGTATTAGACGGTTTTCATTTGATCCTCTCTCTCTCTCTCTCTCTCTCTATATATATATATATATATATATATATTAGCATTAAATTCTTATTGTAATTATTTTAAAAACTTAAAATAGTTTAATTCAAAAAGTTACTTTTTATAATTAATTAGTTATTTTAATT